TTATATAATGAAGTGTTTAAAAAAATCGGTCTGAAGTGACCCAAGTTAGTCTGGTCAAGCCAGGTCCAACAGCTCTGAACATAAATAACAGTCTAATGTCATTCATTCTCTAGGGTCACACCAAAATAGGCCTACTGATTATTTAACTGAGACTGTCCATTTAATATCATGCTCTGTGCACTAAGCCTTCATTGTTACTCTGTATGCTGGCCTCATAGTGCAAAATGCCATGGTAATGGAAGTGAAGTGTTGGGTTAATTGATAAATCTGAGGTCCTGAGTAGGAAGGAGTATGGCAGAGGGAATGTTTTATGGTTGTGCAAATGAAGGGGATGCAGAGTTTTACACATGCCATAAAATGGTTATGGAGAATTAGTGTTCTTTCTCACCTGGACACTAATGCAGCAAAGCTGGATAAATCGATGGACATAGTAACATAGGAACTGCATACACAAATATACACACATAAAAGGTGGACACATATGAGTTCATGCATTTGCTGCCCCTGTCCCACCTAATTCCATTGTCTCTACTTGTAGCCTATTTCAGAGTATAGGTATTAATTGCTAATGAATACCATTCCCATTAAAAAGCTCCTTCATACATCATTATACTGTATGTATCTCAGTGATTCATTAAGGCTGAGGCCATTTAGAGTAAGCCAGCCTGGGTGTGCATGTGTGTAGACACAATGTTCCTGTTCCCACTGCCTGAAGCTCTACACCCACAGTACAAAACCACACCTTGTCTGTGTGGTGTGGCGAGAGGATACAGCAAGAACAATACTAGAGCAACATTACTGTAAAGAGTATATGTAGGTAGGCTATCAGCAGTGGTGTGTGTACATGCAAGTATGTATGTGTATGGGTTCTTTGTGAATGTTGGTCCTGGTTTAGACTTTAACTTTAATGTCATTGTACATTGTACAACGAAATTAAAAATGCAATCCTTCGATTATAAAAAATAATCATAAACAATAAAACCCAACAAATTTACACACTCGCATCCATACACATCTGACTATTGCACAGTTCCCGTAAAATCCCATCAATCATTCAAATTTTAAGGTTTTTTTCTTCCAGAGATGGTAGGGGGCAACCGATAATCTTCTGGGCTCTGGTAATAACCCTCTGGAGCGCTCTCCTGTCTGCAGCTGTGCAACTGGCGAACCAGGCACAGACACAGTATGTTAAAATGCTCTCTATTGAGCAGTGATAGAAGGACACCAGCAGTTTCTCATTCAGATTATTTTTCTTCAAAAGACTGAGAAAATACAATCTCTGCTGGGCCTTCTTCACCAAAGCAGTGGTATTTGCACCCCAAGTCAGGTGCTGCTCAAAGGCAACACCCAAATCGAAAAGGAAAGCAAAGCACGAAGCCGCTGCAACTATGCGCGCCGCCATCTTGGAGAGATGCATGCATGACATTGTATATGTCTATGTGAATGTATTTAGGAAAACAGCGATGCCTGTGTGCATATGTGTGTATGTATCAGTGTGTGTTAGGTCTGATCAGATGTTAGCTTTTGGAAGTTGTGATGGGTGTCAGTCTAATGTGAGAGGAAGGAAAGGCTTGGAGCACAGACAGACACAGACGTGACCACTCACTGTAGTGTACTTGATTAACACGTAACCTCCTAATTAGCAATCCTATGGTTACGGGCAGTACCGCTGGTGACACAGCTAATAACACAACCACAAATTTAGCATGGACAGAGGGGGCTTTCCCATATTTCCATTCGAAATGAGTCACTGCTGGTGCATATAGCTTGTGCAGAAGCTAAAAGACATTACATGATGAGCATTACAGTGCTGGACATATTAAACATCACAACTTTAATAGTTTTAGCCACTGTTCACTCACAAAACCTAGCTTTTAGTAATCTTTTTTCATAACATCTTTGTGTGAGAACTGATTGACTTGATGCCGCACTGCCCTTTTTTGCCATTCAGTATGATTCAGATGATGATGATACCATAGAAAAATAAATTTTATATGACAGATATTGTTCAAAAATGCAAGTTAACATTTAACTAACAGAATTAGCATCACTGTGTTAATATGGCAGGTTTATCAGACAAAAATAGTGAAGTCAAAGCTATAATTCTCAAGGAAATCTCAGAATTTCAGGCTGGTGTTAAAATTTGATGCTTCAGGAGAGATACATGAGAGATGGGAATGTGAATTAATAAAGGTCAGCACTGCAGAAAAGGTCTATGAAGCTAATATTTAGTGGGGAACCTGGGAAGTCAAGGCAAGGCCACATAAGGGGCTGGAGAAAGGGCGACTATTACACAGCCCCATGGCCATTGGGTTCCTGGAGAGATGGGATCTAGCATCTATGTGATTATGTGTAGAAGTATGTGTGTCCTGACAGGCTGGACCACATTTGCATTGATAGACTTTCTTACTTTGACACAGATGGCTAAGGTAAATAGAGGTCCAGGAGTCACAAGCTATTTCTAGGGCTTGGTTTGGACTGGGGATGCTGTGTACATACTGCCAAGAATGGTGGTTGAGCCAGAGAGCTGTGGTCTGGAAAAAACTAGGCAATGGTAATGAAGAGGCTTTAGGCTGTGTAGAGGGCAGAAGCAAGGCTAAGGGGGATGATTACAAGCAGTGCTAGGTAATGTGGCAGAGGCTGGGTGAGAGGGCTGTGGCTAGGGTTTGAAAATAATTAGGAACATGGCTGGATAACATTGCTACCTAATGTGGCTGGGGGGGAGGCTGGCTTGGTACAGTATGAAGATGACGAGTACCGGGGTTGAGCTGTCCACTCCATTGGCCCTCTGAGCTGTGACAAGAAGCTCTGCTGCATGCTGCTGTAGCTGGGGGTGATGCCAGCAATAGGGCTAATGCTAATTACCACATAGAGAGAGAGAGAAGAGGCACAGTAAACAGAGGTAGAGGGAGATACAGAAAGATGAAGCGACAGACAGAGAGACGAGAGGGGGAAAATCTGGGGTCTGATGAGCTCTGAGTGACAGCAGTATGACATGACTGGGCTGGGATCAGGCACTGCTACCTTCAACAACATCCTAAACAGCAGCAGCAGTGTTATCACAGAGTAAAGGGAGGTCAAGTTTAGCCAGCATGTATGTGTGTCTGTGTGTGTTTGGGTAGTATGATGTGTCTGTGTATGCCTTTCTATGTTTGTGTGGACACCTGTAGTTTTTGCCAGGTCCACACAACCTCCAAGGACTGTTTGAAGGTTAAGACTTAGTTTTAGGGTTATGGTTAGAATTAGGTTTAGGTAAGGGCTGGGGGTAGGTGTTTAGTTGTGATTCCCTAGTGGTAAGGGGCTATGAAATACATTATATCAATGAGTGTACTCACAAGAATGGTGAGACAAAGGTGTGTGTGAGACAGAGATGTGGCATGCTGTTCATACAGTGCATGTAAAAGTGTTCAGATGCCATTTAGGCAAGTAGCAAGCAGGACGTTTTCATTTTGCAACATCCATCGGGGAAACTTGGAGGTGTGCAAACATGCACTTACACATACACATACAGTACACACTGCACTACACATTTGGAAAATTGCACTACTTTAGTCTAATTTGTTTGTATCTCATCCTCCAACATATGAACACCAAGAGCAGACGTGATGATGTAATGACATAAAATACCATAACTGGTAGAAAAACGTCTGTCATCTGTGCAGCTGTGACACACCACATGTTTTGTCTGCATGCAGATTGAGACTACATGGTGATTTCAACTTTAATGATGAGCTAAATTATCGTTGTTGGCTTTAACTTTAGTGATGTCAGTGAAAATTTTCATTTACAATGCATGCGCAAAGACAAAGACTTACCATCAATATTGTATTTTACAAATACAGCATAGATGCGCTGAGCTACACTGATCCTACTCCCCCAACCCATGATGTCAGGAGCAGGAGACCCCATTCACCCGCCCACTCACTCCCCATACTTATTTATCTCCACTTCCTGGGGCCGTGTTAGTTCATTCCCCTGTCACTGCTCTCTCCCTTCTTCCCTTGCTCCGCTCTCGCTTGTTTCACTCTTCGTTTCCGGGCAATTGGGTCTGGATGCTGGTGGTGGGGGGTAAGAGGTTGGGGTGGAGCTGCTGGGAACTTTGTGTGAGTCTGCATGTGTGTGTGTGTGCGTGCTGGGAAGTGAGCTAATAAAGGACGGTGATCCATGAAAGGCCTTGAGCAAAGACACAGTCAATTACCTAATGCCTGGACCAGACCGCAGGGCCCACGCACACACATTTTCTCTTTAACATGCTCACATACACACTCATGCATACACCTCATTTACGTATACATGGAGAGGGGGCAGCAGAGGGCATAACTGGGAATTGTGTGTAAGTGTGTGGGTGGGTGTGCATGTGCGGAGAGCGGCGATTTATTAAATTGCTGTCACTTTTGACAAATTTGTGCAACTCAAGTTGAAAGGGTTAGGTTGCACTGCTTCTCTGTTTCCTCTTTTCTTTTGAGAAGGAGAATTATAAGCCTCAGACGGAACCCCAGGCAACCCCAGGATAAACTCTTGACTGCCATCATTTTGCATGGGTTGAAAAGGGTCTGAGCTGAGCTGGAAACTCAAGACCTGGGTTTAACGTAGGTCTGACGTTGATTGACTTTGATGTGTAAAAGCAAAAACGGGTATTTATTATAACAGTATTTCACTACAAGATCTGGATTACTCTAAACATATAGAAGGCACTATATGATTTCCTTCCCTTATCACCATACCATCATTTCTTCTCAGCAACTGCTTCAAATGACATGCAACACGCTAGTTTTGTTAGGATGAAAGTTAAATGTATACTGTCTAAATGTGTTTATTTAAACAAGCACATTACAGCCAAGTCTTTGGTGAACAATGATGACAATATGTGACAGTAGTTTAGTATATATGAGATATGCACGTTTACCACATCTTTATTATTCTGTGTAACATAGGGCTTGAGTGTAAAAGTGGGCTTTTTCACATTCATGGACTCTTGGTGTTTGTGGTTTTCAACCTACCTCCTCTTGGAGAGGGTGTGCAATCTACTGCGTAAAGCTCTTGACAGAGTCTGGGTGAGTAAATGAAGTGCTGCTGTGGCTCAGATGGTGGGGCAGACTTCCTGTTCCTCTGGTTGGTGAATGGCAAGAAATAACAACAAAAAGTTAGACATTATAAAAGTTGCAGTTCAGCTCAGGTTAGCGTTTAATAAAATTTCAAACAGTGATTTGGTAATGGCTGAATATGCAAATGCAAGCCCCTTTAAAAATGCGTCACTCAATTGCAATTTGACTAAAATTCTTAAGAAGTGTAGAGTGGCAAGAAGACCGGATGGTCTTTTGTACTGTAATCGGGGAAATTACTGTGTGAGACAGATCAAATAGAGGGTTAATAGCAGTAGTTTATACACGCACACGACTAAGTGGAATACGCTGTGAGTGGTAATGAGGTTATAGTGAAGTGTTTTAATACAGACACACATACATATACATACAGAATTCCTAATTAAAACTAATAAAATCTTTGAAAGAAAGCAGGGAGAAACTGTGATGGTGTTTATTAAAAAACAGTGTTGTCTTAAAATAACCCCCTGGCATACACCCATTAGTTTTCATAAATATGATGTGTCCATTTGCCGCTTAATGTTGCATAAATTGGTTTTTGCCTGTGTTGAGTGCGTACAACATACATGCTCCTATATGTATCTGTGCACTGTTCTTACAGCGTGTGACTGTGAGGTCTTAGGGACTCGTGTTGTCGTAGCTGATTCTGAGCTTCCTCCAGGTGTGTGTAAGAGGTCTGCAGACACAACGTCAGGTCAGGACAACACACACGCTGCTCAAACACATCCCCTGGCTCTCTGAACAGACCCTGGAATAACCACAACAACCAACACACACAGACACAAACACAAGAATCAGATAATGATCACTGACTCTGTTTCAAGTCCCCACCTCTTTCTTTCTCTGATCCCTCTCCCTCAGGTAATGGCTGCTGCTCCAACCAGAAGCCGGTCCTCTTCATCACTCTTCTTGTGACACAGAAAACAAAACAGATGCAGATACAGAGAAGGAGATAGAATGAGTGAAGAAAACTGTTTCATGAGAGACCAAGTCTGTCAGAATAAAAGTGAGGGATGTAGAGAGGGAAGAGGAGGAACAAAAAGTGAGCAAGATGGAGAAAAGACCGGGAAAGAGACACACATTGATTATCATGTGTGATTAGCTGCAGAGACAATCAGCGTCTGTTTCTCAATACTACCAGCGATTTTACAAATGTAATGATTTCTTTTAATTTATCATTTCTTGGGGATTTATTTCATGTGGCCAGGCAACATAATCATAGTTCTGAAACCTTGAAAAAGACTAGAATAAATAAAGAAAATAAATATTAAGAATAAAGGAGCACCATTCTTATCTTTAATTTATTATAAGAATGCCTGAAATGACACTGTTTGCAGCCAATTTCCTCTCTAACATTGTTCACCCAACTGATGCACAACTTCTGCATATATTTTTGGGAGCAAACCTCACAAATAAGTCAGTTAAATTTTCAACAGCTGTCTGTCATTTTATTCCTTGTACATCTTCTTGACATTGTGGCTCCTTCCCTGGAGTGATGGTTTCTGATGTCTACTGATAGATCAAAGCTGCAGAGACAAAGAGAAGTCATTTTTAGCAACAAGTTTTTGTGCCGTTCCCTGCCTAACCTCACTTGCCCCTCGAAAACAAGCAAAACATATTCAAGAGAGTGGTTACTGTCTTAACAAGTAAATGCCAAAATGACAAAATGCCAATCTAAATTTTCTGAAATGATTTTATATAAGTTGGCTTTAAGCACAAGCAGTAATTTTAAAACAAGTCAAGTTAAGCAGAGGACACTGCATTTATAAGTGTTACTTTGATGCAATTTTCCAAATTAGCACTCACTGGTGTTCGTTCTTTCTAGTTTTAGACTAATTGCAGGAATTCTGTTTTCATGATCCAGTACTGCAATGCAATACTGTATAATTTGTGAACGTTTCTACACTCTCTTTTGAGAGTGATGTGTAAGCTTTGTGCAGTGCAGATTAACGTAAATGTTGTTGCTTTGTTTGAGGTGACCTTCAGGCGCTGTTTGGTGTTAAGAAAGGAGGGAGTATGAGGGTGCAGAGATAGGGGGAGGGACGGGGACCCTGTCCTTGCTCCTATCGCCACAGGATCGGTGGCCTGGCCTGACCACTTCCACAGCCAGCACCTCAATCTTATCCATCACTGCTAGATAGTTATCACATCATGGAAAGAGGAGGTGTAGGGTGTAGGGGTGAGTCTGTAAAAAATAAAGGGGGACTACCTGATCTAATCACATGCAGAAACAGAGAGAAACAGACATGTATAAGTATAAAATGCATTCTTCTTTATGTCAGCGCCAAGAGACTTTCCTGATGCCATTAACGAACTCAAAATACAGCCAGCTGTCAGTGTGTGTATATGTGTGCGTGAGTGAAGTACAGCTAATAAAATTCGACACATCCACGGCTCATTTCTGCTCACTTATGTTTTACATTACTAGAAACTAATAATAGCAAAAGCACTTTGCCATAAAGAGCTACAGAGCATAAATAACACAAATGGTGAAATGGCTCCTCATCAAATCATCAGCATACGCACACATATGCATGCACATTATCACATAGACGCATGCATGACATATCGTTAGAAACGCACAGCTGGACTGATAAACTGTACTAAGGTCTAAAAGTTTGGACACACTTTCTCATTTAATGTTACTTCTTTGTTTCTGTTATTTTCTATCAGGGTTTTCGATTTTTGTAATGCTTTAAAATAGTGTATCTGACTCGGGGCCCTAGTTTGAGGCTCCATGGCATCTGATCAAGATGTATTGGTGCAGGTGGTGTTTGGGTGTGTCCATGGTCATTTCGATAATTTGATGATGAGGAAAAACACTTCAAGCACTCGTGAAAGTAGCAAAGGGACTGTACTTGATTAAAGCAGGGGTGTGTTTTGGGCGTAACGTGCAATTATTCAGTCAGTGTGTAACCTCACATCCCCTTTAAGAGATGTGTGTGAGTTCTCGTTAAGGTCACAAGCCAACTCTCTAAATATGATTACTAATCAAAAAGGTATTTATTATAGTGGTCATCTTACAGTGTCATGTTTTAATTTTCTTTTGCATGTCCTGCGCAGCGTGTCCCAGGGTATAACGAGCGTAGTGCATGAGGATTGTGCACACACCTAGACAGATGCCATGTTCTAATTATGTCAGTTTTCCTTAGGAGGAGTTTTAAAGCCTCTCTACTGTCATCAAGAACTATCCCCCATGGGGCAAGAAGGGAATGTTGGGGGGGTTCTAATAAGAATAACACTTGATAAAGGTACTACTCTCCTTCGCCTGTTTTTCCTCATTGTCAAGCTGTCTCTGTATTTTCCTCTTTATTATTGCTGCCACCTGTATCCACCTGTTTATGTCTGTAATAGCACAATGTTTGACCATCTCACCTGCGGTTTCTTGCTGGCAATAGGGGGCAGTATGGGCTTGATGGAGCAGCAGGTATTAGTTGTTTTGATCCACGGGGATGCAAGACTCTCAGGGAAACTAGGGTCTGTTGGTCCAGGCATGCCCAAGAGACAGGCCCTGCCCTTAGGGGCAAGTCTGGTTGGGGCTTGGTACTTGACCTGCCTCAGCAGTAGCTCCATCTCATGGGGGGCTGGCCTGAATGGGGAGTTGAATACTCCTGGGCACTGAAGGCAGAAAGAGAGAGAGAGGGTTGACCTTAAATTATAGAGAGTGACAGTGAGCAAATATATTATAATATGATTAGACTATGTTCTTCTGACTGACTATATTACTTTTACTGATTGCTCATAGTAACAACGCAGTAACAACTGCAAATGAAAATATCAAGGAAAATATTGAGGGGACTAAGAGATCACATGCAACAGAGCTCCCCATCTAGATGATTCAAGCCAAGGACAATGCGGTTATATGGTTAAAATGTCTTCCTAGGCATTTTAGTCCCCAAGCACTTTAATATAATAAATCCAATTGGAGTTTGGGAAAACCAAAGAGCAATTTTTTTTATTAGGGGACCATCAAATTATAGAACAGCCACACTGTGGGATAGCTTCAAAGGAAAATAACGACTCAACTATTATGGACAATATTCAGGGTAATCTGAAACATCAGTTTTGTTAACAACATTTGATACAGGTGTTTCATGTTGTTGCCCTTCATACTATGCATATTAAGCCAAACTTTGTTAAATTTAAAATTCTGTGTTCCTACTGACAACAGTCTTCACTACCTCCAGTGCACACACCATGGCTCTTGACCAACCAAAGGCTTTTGCCAGATTAAATATTTGGCTGGAGCCGTTCCATGTGCGTCAGTACACAGACAGATAACAATAAACGGGAATAACCTAACTGTATCTGTCTCAAATGTGGCGCCATAAAAGACTTGAATTTAACTGTTCTAATACACATGTACACACATATAAAACTTTGACCCCCCGTTATGAAACGGGGTAGAGATTTGCCACAGAGAGTCTCAGCAATAATTATTCAAATCACAATAATCCTTTTGCCTGTGTGTTAATTACCAGACCAAAGCTATGAGTTGGAGGACTCTCTATCTACTCTATATGCTAATAACACTGCTTGCTATTTACAGTAGGTCACTCTATGAGACTCGGACAATAGAGAGAAAAGCACTGGGAAACTGCTCCAAGTATATTGACCCAAACCCAATTCTTTTAGAATAACATATTATCAAGAATTGTTAATTGATAAATGTTTAGTTATAAGATCATCTGTAAATGTCAAGAATGAGTAGAGAGCAATTAATTCAACTCCACTGATGATGATTTCTTTAACCACTGGCTGTAGACACTATTGAATAAGTGCAACCTTATGTTATGGGCTGTTTTAAATAATGGAAAGTAAGAACATGTTTATTTAACATTACTGCATTATATAGTCTCTGCTGTGCTTTAAATTTGTTGCTGTAATACACTGAATATAATGTTAATGTGTAGTGGAGTAATAAGGCCCCAAATGTGATGTCATGCTTGCGATTAGTTGAACGGATTAGAGGCGGTAGTCTCACAGTCCTATTGCACTCAACATTTATAACTTGCACTTGCAAATGCGTCTTCTTATGTGATTTTTTTGGTCGCTGTAAACACACAACAAATAATGTTTGCCTCTAAGTGGTTCCCTTAATGTGGAAACTACACAAATGCACCCCAGTCACTGAGGAAATTTTTTCATTCCGGTACCTACTCCCCCACCATTGACATGCCAGGTCCGTCACCAAGTGATATTTCCGGGACTTCATAATCTACATATTAAGCACTGTACTGTGTGTGCCTGGCTGTAACTAAGTGTGCGAAGTAACCCTCAGAATAGGTTCTACAATAAACAACTATCTGGCAGTCTAAATGTTAGAAACACTGACATAAAATCAATGCTATCGTAATTTTCTGTGCATTTAATGACATTTATTTAGTGTTTGTTGTCAGTCTATAAAATGCAGTAGGGATGACTGAATGAATCCAACTCAAACAGGAAGGAACAGAAGGCTGGGGACATACACACCACACAAACATACACAAATGTAAATCTCACTCCTTCTAAAGACACATACAAGTATACATGCACACACAGACACGCGCACATGCAAGCCCAAATGTACCAACCTAGCTACAGGAAAGAGCAATGATGTTGACCCCAGGATCACACCAGTTCTGTCTCTGTCAGAGGGACTTGGGGCCTTTTGGTAAGCTGTGTGTGTGTTTGTGTGTGTGTGTGTGTGATAATCTGTGAGCGCGCATGTGTGTGTGGGCTGGGGTTCAAGAAGTGTGGAAGGATGAACTG